TGTTTTGTACATTGGATGTATGTTGTTTCGGCAATGAATGAGAGATAAGTTGGATTATTATTATTATTATTACTTTGTTGGTTTCGAGTACTGAACATTAAAATAACAAGAGTTTTATATTTTCAAACAAGATAACATGGGAATGTGTTGTCTGTTTGTCTGTCTATCTCTCTCTGTCTCCCTTTGTATATGTGTGTACGTGTGTATGAATCTATATGTATGTTGAACGTCGACTATTCAATTTTTTGTTTTGTTTTCATAGAATGAATCCAATGTGAAGAATAAAACACAATAATAACGATAAAAAAATTTGAAGAGGTTTCATTTTTGATTCACAATTTATTTCTATTTAAGAAGTACGATAAAGAGAATAGGTGTAGTGAACATTCACACCATAGATCTTAAATTTATTACCAATTTTTTGTGTGTGTTTTGTTTTTTTTACGTGATGAAATTGTAAGGGAAAGATTGGTTGGGCAGTAATAATAAAGACGGTATCCGAATGGAGTTTATTCAGAAAGATCGTTATTCTTTTTATTGGATATATATATGCATATATATACACTTATTATGACTGATGATGGGTTATTTAAATATTTATATTTTTTTCTATGTTTATTACAATAAAAAAAACACTTAAAATGTAAACCGAAAAGAGAAACTTACCAATTCGATGAAGTATACTATTTATAATTAGTGTGGGAAGTGAATGTGATACTCTAAAACTTATCTTATCATTGATACCACTATACTGTTTAACTCCCCTTGGAAGGGGGGGGCAAAACTTCGTTTAATGTTAATTTTGATTATTATTATTATTTCGGTATGAAAAATGTTTTAAACACCACAAAAATTAATTTAATGACTATAGAAAACAACTTTCAAAGATGTAATCTTTAACTAAGTATAGTTAAATGTCTAATTTGTTGGCAGGGAATAAGTCTATTCATGTTAAGAGTATGATTATTTATACATTTCTAATTTATTGTAGAATTATGTCTGGATATGTACAATTTTAAAGTGATGTTATGCTGTCAAAAAGAAAATACATAATACATATTATTAGTTTGGATGATTACTGAGAAGTATCTGATAAGATTGATTTCATTTCAAGTTACCATGTACTTTAAATAATACTAATATTCTTACAGCGATCAGAGAACTCATTTTTGTTTTGATGAAAACTACCTGAGACAATAACGAATATTTGTTGCCTAATTATAAAGTGAATGAATTATGAATCAATTAACATTTCCTTACATGAAATCTAATTTTTAAATGATCTTGTTATCGTTGATAAATATCATTCACCTGGTCGAAAAGTAAATATATATAGTTTGACTCCTGATAGAGATGAATCAGTTGTCAAGATGGATCACTAAATGACATGAATCAATACAATGAATAGTTAAAGAATACAATTGTCAGTCATCAAAACATAAGTTTAATTCATTCACTTTAACTATAGACTGTTAAATAGTATTATTAAAATTCAAATGAAAAGAAAACAATGTGGTTCGAAGACAATGAAACGAATTTCTACATGGTAATTGTGAGAGATGCTCAAACTTTATATCATAGGCTAGTCTCAGTTAGACAACCATTACTGGCGGTGTGGTATTTACTAACCAATAAGATTGGAATTTGATTAGTCAATATGATGAATTTAGAAATTTAAACAAACAGATATCGATGAAGTTACCTTAAGGTTGGTAACGCACTCCAAGACCCAAGTATCTTCGATTCAATCCATAAGAGGGTTGTGGGTTCGAACTGTGGACGGGTCTTATACGAGAATAAAAACGTTATCCAGTGCTTCTTGGCTTTTAACAATTTTTAAAATATTCATACAAAAACTCGTTAGAAAAGGGATGCTTACTTCTATTGTCTTATTAGTGTGATTATCATTGTTATTACTACCACTAACACGGATTGTACAAACATAACTTCATGCAAATACTGAATGTCATAAATACCAAAGCAAATTCGTCGAATGTTAAAATAACGTTTATTCGCTCATTTTTAGGTCTACCCTTCATCCAAAACAATTCTTATTTTAAATATGTAATCTGATGAGAAGATAATACACTAGTAAGACTTAATTGACAATAAAAGTCATAGATGATGGTTACTTAATAACAGTAAAAATGATATCAGTCAACTCATTAATTTTCAAACTACTTATATTGTCAATAAAATCATGAAATTGTTAGGTTTAATCCCTGGTGGTATGATATGGTTTGTTATACTAGAGATGAAACATCTATCTATTTTCTCTTTAACCTCAACGGATCTTTAGTTGAAGTTTATCTATTATTATTATTAACTCACTGCCAGGTTCATTTTCATATTCTTAGGTTAAAGCTACACTAAATGTGAGGGTTATCGATACTACTAGCTTGCCTAAATCGAATAAGGTAGGGCTGAGTTTAAACTTGAGACTTAATGGCTAATAGTCAGACGCTTTAACTACTAACTCGTCACTTCATCTGTAATCTCAATCGAATATAATCTTCATACATCTTTTATGCTAATTATATAATTGATGTGTTTAATCAATCAAAAAGTAAACTGCTATTATATTTTCTAAATTTCGATCTATGATAAGAAAGTGATGAGAAAAAACCATTTATCCCATTCATTACTTGACTCTAGGTGTCATGTTACCAACCCACCAATGAATGAAATTTTAACAGTTGTTATTTTAAGTTTAAGTTATTAAAAGGGAGATTTTTCATTATAGATAATTGGTATTAAGTAATAGTAGTATGAATTCCCATGAGTTTTATATCTGATATATTTTATTTCCTACTATATCTGCTATTTGGTGCCAATCCCTTAGAGTCAAATTAACCTCCAGGTGTTTTTTCTATTGTTACATAAAGATATAATGACAAGTTACAAGTTGTTATCACAGTTGAATTCGATTTTTAAAGTCAATGAAATATGATCAGGACATAATTATACTGTAATATTTTGTGATCGCTTTTCTTCCCCGATCTCCCCCCCTGTATGTGTATTTGTGTCCCTGATACAAATGTATGTATTAGGGAGCTCAAAATTCTTTGATCGGATTAAAGAAGGAAAGAATTGTTCGTTACTAAACATAATCCACTTTAAACAAGGTGAAATATTATCGTGAATTATGTGACCGATAGAATAAAACAACGTAGTGACAGATATACACGTATAGACAGGAATACAAATGTACATATTTAAACTAAAGATTTTTAGTTCTCATGACAACCATGCAAATCACTGGTAATTACATAACTTTTGATTGCTGCTTTTAACTGTTGCGATGATGTCATTAAAAATCAAGTGTAACCGTTAAGATTCAAAGTGATCCGTGCGTGTGTGTGTGTTTGTAAGTACGCAAAACTTACAGGCACAATGAAAAAAAACTTATGAAGTTTAAATAGTTTTCACTAAATGCAAACATCGTTACCATGGCAGTAATGTCAGTGAATTCTTTGGTAAAGAAAGATACTACTAATTAGATCAGTCTCATTTGACAATTATAAGTATATAACACATGTGAAAAGAAACAAGTTTCCATCAATAATCAATTCAGTGTAAATTTGCACTGATCCATTTGTTTGCATGAAGCTAACTAAATACATATATCGTTCAACATCTTGATTTCTTCCTAGAATTCCAGAACATTGAACAATCTAACTTAACAAACTATAATCCAGGTTATATGTTCAGGAAGATATTTATCTTTGAATTCATACTTCGACAATATTTATAAGTTTAAGCACAATAGATTGTTATAACTGTTAATATTATACAGAATTCTTAATCATTATTAAAATAATATTTCTTTCATCTGCACATTTGGATTAAGGACACTCATAATTATTATGCTCAGTTTAAAGATAATAAATTTCGCACGTTTTAGATCAACTATTTAATAACTATATAGTTAAACTTCAGATCAGAACTTAATAGAGTCTAGCAGATCTTCGACAACTTTTTTTTTAAAATTCTGTCATTAAACAAACGTATGAAATGATAATCGTGATGAATGGTGAAAATATTAAATTTTAAGTTATCACAAACACATAAATAAACAATCAAACAAACAAAGGATACAGAAGCTTCTAAGTTTCACCTTTTATAGACATTGGATGATACTTTAAAAAGAAGAATATATTTGTAAAATCTCAGCGAATGAATTATAAGTAAATCCAACGTTTCGCCTGGCAATCTGGTCCAAGCTTTTTCAAGGAAAATATTCGTTCAAATTTAGACGAAAGTTCTTATTTATTGGATGATACTATTTAAATAGTTTTAAATGAAGGCCAAAAACGAAAATACCCATGTCTAATCCTTCTTACTTTACCCCCACTCTTCCTTATGGACATTACTTTGTAATAATCGATGAATAACATAGAATGATACATGTAACATATTGATTATTTCAACAGTTGAGGTCATGAGTCAATTGAAGCTAGACCACCATGGAAAACCCGGAAGCACTGGACGGGCGTCTCATCCTATTGTGGGACTCCTCAGTAGTGCTCATCCACGACCCCGCCTCGCGGAATTCGAACTCAGGACCTATCGGTCCTATTATTTAAAAAAAACTATTTTCATTTGATTTCCATATTATTGTACACATTGAATGCGTATTCAGTTTAAACAAAATCATGTAAGGCGGATTGTTGAATTCGAATTTTTTGTGTACTAACATCAATGATACATGTATACATATATCATTTCATAAAAAAAACACAATAAATATCAGATCGATAATATATTTAAATCTTTATGATTATTAATCATGATATGTTGCTGAGAGGGCTATTGAGCAAGTAAGCAACTAAGTGAGTGAGCGCGAGAGAAAGTGTATATTGATTTTTTTTGTATTGTAAAATAAGTTCAAAATGTGTCTTAACTTGATAAGTAATAAATTAAGTAATTATATACATATATATATGGATACTTTTTACATGAGGATATCATACAAGTATGCATTCAATATATTTATTTATCTATTTATTTATTACACTTATAACATGTCTATGCATGTTATTTATGGTATTGTTCATTTTAAAAAAATGAGATACTCTACTCATATTATATTGTTCTTTAAATATTTGTATAATCGATGATGATGATGATGATGATGATGATGATGATGATGATGATGATGATGATGATGATGATGATGATGATGATGATGATGATGATGATGATGATGATGATGATGATGATGATGATGATGATGATGATGATGATGATGATGATGATGATGATGATGATGATGATGATGATGATGATGATGATGATGATGATGATGATGATGATGATGATGATGATGATGATGATGATGATGATGATGATGATGATGATGATGATGATGATGATGATGATGATGATGATGATGATGATGATGATGATGATGATGATGATGATGATGATGATGATGATGATGATGATGATGATGATGATGATGATGATGATGATGATGATGATGATGATGATGATGATGATGATGATGATGATGATGATGATGATGATGATGATGATGATGATGATGATGATGATGATGATGATGATGATGATGATGATGATGATGATGATGATGATGATGATGATGATGATGATGATGATGATGATGATGATGATGATGATGATGATGATGATGATGATGATGATGATGATGATGATGATGATGATGATGATGATGATGATGATGATGATGATGATGATGATGATGATGATGATGATGATGATGATGATGATGATGATGATGATGATGATGATGATGATGATGATGATGATGATGATGATGATGATGATGATGATGATGATGATGATGATGATGATGATGATGATGATGATGATGATGATGATGATGATGATGATGATGATGATGATGATGATGATGATGATGATGATGATGATGATGATGATGATGATGATGATGATGATGATGATGATGATGATGATGATGATGATGATGATGATGATGATGATGATGATGATGATGATGATGATGATGATGATGATGATGATGATGATGATGATGATGATGATGATGATGATGATGATGATGATGATGATGATGATGATGATGATGATGATGATGATGATGATGATGATGATGAAATGGATAAGTATAACAATTCTGGCATATGTGTAAATGTTAATAAATAATTAAGTGGATAACGCGATGTCGTTCGAAGTGAACAGTACTGAGTTCAAGTCCCAGAGTGACCATCAACTCAGATACAGGTGAATCCAGCCGACAGATCTCAAATCGGACGAAACGTACCTCCTGAATTCTGCCCCTTATAAAATCTTACATTACCTGCATAGTTACATTTATAATATGTATTTACGTTCAGATGATCACATATAAACACAAACCTATGTACATGAATATTTGTGAAGTTCAATTTGATATAGAATTTTATATACTAAAATATACATTCTAATTTTCGATCCGATTAGTTAATTAATGATGGGCTAATAATATTTATCATGAGTTGAAATATTAATGTCAGTCATAGTTTTAACAAATGAGAATAATAAATATATTCTTGTATGTCATCTATTCAACTTGGTTACATGTATAAACAATTCATACATTCCTACGTAGGTAAATCCACATGTTTAATGTTTGAATCATTATTACTATTATCATCATTATTAATAGTATTAATATTTTGTTTTAAATGTTACTTTATATTGTTTTTTTTTATCTTTAAATATACAAAAAAGTAGTACGGATATATGCATTCATATACGTTTATCTTCAGCACGTTTCTTTTTCTCTACAAAAAAGAGAGAGTTATTAAGTAAATACGCAAAATGAGTAAACAATATATAGATATATAGATATATATATATGAAAGCACACATTAATATCAACATATATATCGTGCACAATTGAAAATCGTAAATGCATAAACCGATAAGCAATCTGTGTGCACGTATACACTCCCACACAAATTCACTTCGAAATATCACGTATACCCAGAGTTTGCACAGACCTACATGAGAATATATATATATATATATATATATATATATTGAAGAAAATAATCGATAGTGTATTTAAGTAACAAGTTTAAACATTATATCATCATTATTACTATTATTATTTTCAATAGTTGAAATCATGTGTCAATTGAAGCTAGGCCACAATGGAAAACATGGAGGCACTGGACGGCCGTTTTTTCATATTACAGGACTCCTCAGTAGTGCGCATTCACGATCCCGCCCCCTACGAGACTCAAAACCAGGACCTGTCGGTCTCGCGTGCGAGACATTAACATCGTTGGATGCTGGCTCAGTGGTCTAATGGTTAAGCACTCGCGCGCGAGACTAATAAGTTCTGGGTTGGAATCTCACGGTGGGGGCGGCATGGTGGATGCACACTGCTGAGGAGTCCCACCATAGGACGAAGTGCCCGTCCAGTGCCTCTGTGTTTTCCATGGTGGTCTGACTTCAATTGACTCATAATTTTCACTATTGAAATTACTAAAATCTCCACAAAACCCTTTTTGATATTATTGTTGTTTTTAAAATTATAATACATTGTGCTGAGATAATGAATAAACAATACCTTTCATTACCATTATTACTAACCGGAACAATGGGATGTAACAATAAAAATTACAATCCTATTTAATTATTCTTAAAGTGTAAATATTTCGTTGATCCAAGTTTAGAAATGAAGATAAAATTTAAACGTTAAGTAATTGGAACTAATAGACAGGGCACCATGGTGCTATATCTCATGCTATTTTGGGATAAATTGTGCTTCCTGAGAGATTCGACCTTATGTCACCCATCTTTATAGTTTAAGATATTATCACTGACTGTTCAAGTGGTGAAGTACTTCCTTTGGGACAACTGATTGATCACTGAATAATCACCGATCAATTAGAAATTCAATCGTTTAATATATTGGACACTGTTTGGATTTATTCACTTATTTTGCCGTCAAAACGAAAATTAAATATCGAAATATTCTTCTAAAAAGTAGTAATGTAATAGGTATGACAATAATAATAATAATATCGAATTTTCCAATGCCATATATTCTATCAAATATAGAGATAAGAAGGGAAATATACTGATAATTGTATTGTAATTCTGTCTGAATTTTGTAATCAATATGTTCTTGAAAAGCTGCCAACTTTATATTAAAGTATGTGAGTACATTATATTACATTACCTCTCATGAGGCATATGTCACCTATCACGATTCTCTAACAAGCTCTGTGTTAAGTTCTCGTCTCTAATTGTTGTCAAGTACTGTTCGTTTTCTTGATGTCTGTCTCTGGTTTCATGCATTGTGATTTTGATTTGTCTCTTTCCCATTTGTCACTAGATATGCAGTTTAATGGTTTTATTAATATGATATCTGTTCACGTTTGCGGTGTTTTCCAGATCTCAACTAACAGATGATTTGTTCTCTGCTAGATACGGTTGTTTTTTATGGTCTATGACTAGAGTAGGTTACACAGTTGAAATGACACCACTAAAGGCCAATAGAGAAGTTCTATTGGCTAAGAGTTCATCACAAAAACTGAAAGTCCTGATTTCGCCCCCCAACTGTGGTTCGCGCGTGTCATAATAGAATGAAGCAGCTATTCAGTACCCTCAGGTATTCAGTAATATTCCGTCTGAGACCAATATATGGTAAAGACAAACCACAAGTCAAACTAGTTTAGTTATGAATTCACTTGCCTACTATTTTTTGTAAAAAAGTAGACAATAACACAAACACTTTACCGTTGCCAACATCATCAACATTGTCATTAAGAATAGGTGATATAATTTGTTATCATATTTTTGGATTCCAAATATAATCTGAATAACTTTTCATAGAAGTAAAGACCGATGTCATTTAATCAGTAGAACACAGTATTCAATGGATAATGTTGAAAACGATATTTGGTTAATCTATCTTTAATAATTCTATAGGGTACAATAAAAGTCACATCTTTAATACAGATGTGACTGGTTATGTACAACCTGTCTATTGTCTACACTCTGCAGGTGGTCCAATAAGTTAAATAATAGTCATTTAATCAATCTTAACATTCAGATATTTTTCAATCTGTCAACCTATTCGATCATCGATCGTAGTTTTACTCATAATAAATTATTCTTGTTCTCCCCTTTTCTTTCTTTTTTTTCTCTCTGACTCTCTCTTCTTCTCTCTTCATATCATTCATCTGTTAACTTTCGAATATTTCTGAAGAAACCCTTTTATAATTTACCTGTAATTATGTTGAATTTGTATGTGCGTATGTGCATGATCGTTATGTCAAGTGGTTGATGTTGTCGGTTTAAACAAAAAAAATTTCAACTGCTTTTATTCCACTTATTATATGCTTAAACAGATTAAATTTTTCCATAGAATAGTAATCGAAAGAAAAAGGATATGTTTGAATATCTTCTTTGAATTGTCATATTGTCATCTAGTCTATAATCTACCTATCCATTATCTTGATCCACATAACAAGTTTATGATTATTACTATGATAGTAATAAATGAAACTAACAATAATTATTATTACCATTGTTATAGACACAGTAGTACTAGTAGGAAACTCTCATAATTGTACCTTGACACTATTGTGACCATTTGTTGCTAAGGCGATGGCAATTTAAAAAATTTGCCTCAATTGCCTCAAATACTATGGTTATAAATTCACGAGTTGAGCTTCTTAATTAAGAAAACGAATTTTTGGATAGAAATGATATTATGCCCCATTTGATTCTAATCCTTGTTTGTTCCACCTAAAACACTTTGATAACATGAAAAATCAGTTGTCTGTAACGAGTTTCAGCTACCAATACATTGTAAGTCCAGTGTATCACAATACCACATCAAAATGGTTTCATTGCAGTATTTAGTAATTAGTCAATTTAAAATGAAAGTAAACTGTATTAAATAGAATTCGAGATCCGTAGAAGTACTAAATCATTCAGGTTTTATTGTAAACACATCTAGGCATATGAATGTTACCATTCTAATACAGGACACGCGATTCCTATTATTTAGGACTTGTCAGTTGGATGTACTTGTAAAACGAAACTGATCAATTACAGTATTAACACATCAAAGGTAAGATTCAAGCAGCAAATAAAAATGAATTACAAGCCAAGTAGATTGAATTTTATTCTATCCTACTTGTGAATAATGAGAACTTCATTCATTATTATTTCATATAATGGTTAGTGATAATACCTGACTGTTTGAATAAAAAAATAAATGGAACTGGTTTCACTACCTCAAAAATAAACAAAGAAGTTATTCAAAATAAACAATACCAGTAAATTTTTTAAAATGAAGATTGATTTGGTTTAATTGGTTTAATTCATTAAAGAGTGATTACACAATTAGAATATCGTGGAAAACTGGGGAGCACTAGCGAGATGTCAAGTTCCAGCATGGAACTCCATAACAGTCCACATTCACAGCTCACAGTCAATGATTCGAGTTGGGGCATTCAGATTAGTGGAGTTCAACAATTTAGATGGTAGTTGGAGGTAGTCAACAGGAAACCCTGGACCCGGGTTTCGTGCTACTTGGCACTCGTCAGCAAGGTGTACCTGTAATCTTGAGGGAACTGGTGCTCCCTGGCGGATTCGATCTCGTGTCACCCAGCTTCACAGTCAGAGACATTACCACTGAGCTATTCGAGCCGTGACTAACCTCCTGTAGGACTGAGATGTAATCACAATTGATTGATCACTGGGTGGTGATCAATGTCATGCTTGTCTAGTCCTTATTAGTGCAGACCAAATGCTATCGATCATGTTGCAATGTGGCCACCAGTCTAGGTGACTCGACACTGCGGGCACTATGTATTGAGATTTAGATGGTGGTTGGAGGTAGTCAACAGGAAACCCTGGACCCGGGTTTCGTGCTACTTGGCACTCGTCAGCAAGGTGTACCTGTAATCTTGAGGAAGGGCATGTAAAACAAATATTAACAATCATAATGGATAATTACTAATTTGTATTATGAAGTGAATGAAGTTCGAGAGTTTGATAGCAACAAAATACGAGTTTTATGTACTGAGTTTTACTTTACTCAATGTTTATAAACTCTAGTCATACAACTAAGACCACCACACCTACTACTACTCATACTATTACTACCACTACT